TTTTGGTTGATTTGTGGCAAAAGATCCAACAAATCACTAATTTATTTAATTGACGTTTAATCCGCCCCTGATTGGCGATGCACCGCATGCAGCAGCGAGTGCAGACTGCACGTCACTAGTGCTAATAAAGAGACGGCGGCGCGGCAGGCACCTCCCGCCTGCCGAGTTATGCAGCCGGCAGTGCACCCACCTTTGTGTCTGCCCGCGAGAGCATAATGTTAATGCTCGACCATGCTTGGCGCAAATCAATACACCACGACCGTCCGCCAACAGCGATGCACCCGCCCGACTCATTCCAACTGCTGCACTTTTGCATGCAGTCTCTGCAATGTGCATTATTTTTAGTAATCATGAAATAAAAAAGCCAAGCTGCGTGTTCAACGGCAAAGAGCAACGGACGAGTGGCTCATTTTGCCATTCAGCAGGGACGTGTGCTCTTTGTGCGAAAAAAAAAATCATTCATGCAAATTATTACCGATGGGTTGCTTTTAATTTAAGTCGCGGTAGAAGAAGTTGAGTAAAATTCAACTGCTGTTAAAGAAAACCCTATGAAGTGCTACGAAGGAAAAAAAGACAAGTTGGTTATAATTTAAAAATGATAAAAGATAATTTGTGAGAAAAATAAATATTTTTTAAGTGCTACAATATGATAAAAATTCCTAGTTTTACAAATTTTAGCTTTTTGAAGATGATTTTAAGTAAAAAGGAGAAAAGATTGTTTTATATTTTTGCAATTTTCATGTTTACAACTGCGGCATTGCAATTATATTACTGTCGGGGCTTGCCTTAATAAATAAGAAGCAAAGTCCGTGGCAACATTTTTATGGCGAGCGTCTTGGTTGCTGCTAGGGATGAAGTCGAGGTCAAACGAGGTCAGTGCATTGACCCAGGAAGTGCTCCACCGCGCTAGGGGTTGATACTTACAAACAGGTGGGAGTCGGGGGAGGCCAGGGGTGGAGTCGAGCGAGTTGCGCGGAAACCGGCGCGGCTTTTCTCTGTGCCGCCGGCCGGCACCTAAATCTGGCACAAGGGTTCAAGGAACGCAAATTCAGTTTGATCTCAATCTCTTAGCCAGTCATAAGTGTCCTTTTTTATTTCAAATAAATAAAAAAAATAATATTTCAAGAATAAATTAATTTTTATAAATTTTATTTTGAATGTGAATTAAGACTTTTTTATTGCTTCACATAAATAAATGGCAAAAATTTTCCGGTATTGAAATTTTAAAATGAATTTTACCTATGAAACTTATGAAATAAGCCTGGTTTTAAATTCACATGCAGGTAAAAGTACCTTAGTTTGATCTTATTTCTTTTTGTTTAGTGTTTAAAAAAATTAATGCGTTCATTGGTGAATTTTATAATTTTAATTTTATTTTGTCAATAGAGAATCACTTAATGAATTAAAATTTTAAGTTAATTAATGCACATTTCAACTCCAAACTATTTTTTCTTTTTTTAGTAAAAATCTAATTTAATTATTTAAAAAAAAAAACCAAACAAGATATAACTTTTTGTTTCTTTTGACCTCGGGTCAATGATCAGAGTGCACTGCACTAACAAAGGCCGAAAATTAAGCGGCAAGGTTGCGCCGATTGCAAAACTATGTGCATTATAGAGCCGGCTGCATCTAAAAAATAACCGCGTGTCCCTGAAAATGATTCGCTCGACCGACTAGAAGCGTCTCTCTCTCTCTTGCTCGTAAACAGCAGTCGGGGTCGCTGCAGAAATGCACGTCCACCGCCAACTCGCAGTCAGTCGGTTTGTAGGTGGGTGAAGGAATAGGTGAACGACAATGGGAATCGTCCGAGCGATCGATCAGAGCTCATTTTTCTGCGGGACAATCACCCAGAAGATCGGTAATAACTTATTTTCCTACAGAGAGAGGACGAATTAATTAATCCGAGACTAATTTTCTAATTGACTTGTTGGTAGGCGGTGTCGCATCCTCGAGTGTGTTTGCATGATAATAAAATAGGCCTTGTCCTCTATTCCTTAACCCCGACATCAGAATTGCATAATGCAGCTGCGCCGCGCGCGCCGCTCTCCTCTAGTCTCTCTCTCGGTGATAAAAAATATATATATATATATATATATATATGTATATATACATATAAAAAAATACAGAGAAGAAGAAGACCTGCTCTTTGTGTACATATTGCATGAATGCAGCCAGACTCCGCCTCTCTCTAGCAGAAAAAAATAACACTTTGGCGGTGCCTCCAATTAGGAAAAAAAATAACTGCTACGTCTTGAGTGAATAAAAAAATCGCGGTCGCGATCAAGAGGGGTTATTGTTGGGCTTCCAGAGAAACGGAGAACAAAACAAACAGGGCGGAAAGTACTAGTTTTTCAGGGAAAAAAGTTTGCCGAACAACTTAATTTTACTGCTGCTTGCAAATGACAAGCCTGACCGCAGCAGCATCGCAATTTGAAATGGAGAGGGAATAATTTTTAGAGGTGACAGTGAAAATAACGCGTAGTTAGTCAAACAGGATCTTACAAAAGCGGAATTTCGAAAATTACTACCGAGGCAGAAATTTGATTGATTTTTATCCCAAGTCATTGAAGTTCAGAATATAAAGAAAAAAATCCCTCATTTCATTAAATAATAATAATAATACTTTTGCTGACAATTTTCTTAAATGAAATATTCTTTGCAAGAAAGTTAAACAGTATTTTTCAACGTGAGAAAATCGAAAAATGCGAGTGTATTACATGAGAAGTGCGTCACATATATTATGATGCAGCTGCATAATTCTCAAAACGAAAGTATGACGTCATGAATTTATTTTGCCTTCCAAACAAGAAGAGTTCATTGATATAACAGACACCTATTATGCTATAATATTGGTAACGCGGCCAGCGACTTGTAATGCAATTCGCCGCTGGTTTTTCAACCAGGCTAGTCTTATTAGCTAGGCCGGGTCGGCGGCGGGATAGGAGAAGTTTTAGAGATAGGAGGCGGCTGGGCAGCTAGCTGATGCACAGAAGTGCATTCGAGTGCATTTCAGCTGCAGCGCTCCGCGTGGCAGAGGCACACATCACGTTACTAGGCCATTGCATTCGCAAAGAGCACCACCAACACACAGTTCAATGTAACAATTCCGCCAGTGTGCAGGACGAGAGAACGGTGCCGGCCGCTGAAAAAAAAAATACATATTTTAGTCAGTGAGAGAGATGGAGGACCTTCACAAAGGTTGTTGCGATTTAACTTAACAATCGTGAGTCTTTTAATTTATTCATAGAGTTCTTTGTAATTTTATTATTCCTTCCTTTTACACAAAGCAACGCCCATTCAAGATAATTACCTTTCTGGTGCAGTTGTTTAACAATGGGCGCGTCTTGAGTCACATATGCAGAAAATTGCATCTCCACCTAATTCGTTTTTTACAATCGAGAGGTATAAACACTGGCCCAAAGTTAAATATTTTTTTCTTCTCCGTGTTTATAAACACTCGATTCTATTCCCGTCTGACATGATTATAACGAGTTATATTTAGTCCCATTATAGAGATCAGAAAAACAAATACAACCGTGGCGAAAAGGAATAAATTGCGAATCTATATCAATCCAATTTTTTCCTTCCTCGACCGGTGGCCAAATGCGTAGCTGAATTGCGCAAATGCAACGGCGCTCATAATAACAATAGAGATAATGTCCTGTTCTGGAAGAGTTCCGTCCCTGAACTTGTTTTGTGGTGCTCTGCGACTAACTGAGAGATGTTGCAACTGGAAAGTGCAACAAATTACCCAGAAAGGCGTGTAAATGCAACGGCCTTAGTTTTTTAACGTTTTAACAAAAATGATCGTTTGTTTAGTTGACGTCCACAACTTATTTAAAAAAAAAATAGTGTGAATTTTGAGGTCCACGTATGTAATGAGAATTCAAGCCAAATTGTGAATTTTTGGTAAATGGAATAATTTAATGTTATATTTGTATATCAATCATATTTTCTGTTAGAATCTTTCATTATTGCATTTTTTTTTTTCAATCGATCTGCAGATTTAAATATTATATCACTGTAACAGTCATAATTCATTTTTAAAAACGCGTATTTAGTTACAAAATAAACTAGATGACAAATAATTTGGCTTTTGTAACCTATCAGTTATCAGATAATATCATGATCAAATTAAAAATGGTTGTTAATCGAGATTTTTTAATAGCAAACACTTCCTATCTATTTGAATCAAACGTTTTTGTTGATTAATTAATTATGAATTAGAAGTGGAGCTTTTTGAAATGCAAATTCGCAGATGAACGCGTGCCAAGTGATGCTCACAATCCTTGACCGCGTGCACCGAGAGCGCACTTTGATACCAAGTTAAAAATACTTGAGTGCTGCCGGTCGAAAGGGATGCACCATTCTAATGTCGCAAATTATGCAAGTGGTCGAACTCTCTCGCGCGATGGGGCAAAGTCGTATGACGGACAGTCTCACCTCTAAACAGCCATCACCTTCCTCAATTATCCGCCGTCATAGCTAGAGGTCACGTGGTCTTATTTATAGAAGGCCCAAGAGTGCCAGCGGGTTGAAAACAACGAGACCGACTAGATTTACACTATGTGCTTTATTGCAATAGCCAAGGCTTAGAAAGTCAGGGGTCAATTCAGCCAGCATACTGCGCGCGAGATAAGATGATGAGAGAGAGAGAGAGAAAGAAAGAAAGAGAGAAATAAAGCTGCGCCCGTGCAATATATGCATGCAGCCTTGGTCGGTGTCTAGGATGCAAGTCTAGAGGTCACAAATGTCAATGCTACTTAATCAATGCATAGCATAATCCTCCGCCGCTCTCTGTGTAAAAAATTTCTCTCCGAGCCAGCATACATGTTTCCAAGCGGCAGGGGGTTGATTTCTGTGTGGCGCCTCCATTCAGCCCCATCAACTTTTTCACATACATTAAAAAATCTCGTCCGTCAGTCTAGTGTGCATGATGAAATTATTATTTGGGTTTTTTTTTACTCTTCACTGATGTTTGCCTTCTCTTTTTGTTGCAGGAATAATGAGCGCAATGGCGGCCTCACCCCGCGAATTGCAGATTATGAGCCTCTTTCAGGACATCAAACTGAAGAGGCACAAAGTCGACAGCAGATGCAGCAGTGACGGTCAGTTTAAAAGTTTGGAAAAATTTTGACAAAGCGAAAAATCGGCTTTTTATGCTTTCATGCAACCTGCTCCACATATGCGACGTGCAGGTTGCATAAGTTGAAAAAAAACCGAAATCAATATTTTATTTTGACAAAAATCATTATTTATTTATTTATAAATATTCTGAAAATGATTTCAAAAAATGATTTTCCAAAAAATCATTCTGAAAACTTAATTTGTAGATAAGATAATTTATATCAATGATTGATGCGTTTTTTTCTTACCATTTTACATAAATTCCCATTTTAGGTGAAAGTACTGCTGAAATTTCCTCTCCTGAGAGTGCAAATATGGCTCCTAATGAGGAAGAATCGCCACGGCCCCCGAGCAGCCCGGTGTTGAAAGTGGAAAGGTTAATATTTCAAAAAAATTTCCTCAGCCTCACTTTACATTGAAACAAATTTCCTCAGAGCTTCACCGGGCCCCGGCGTAATTACTGAAAATCCAAGGCCAGATGTAGTTCCTAGCACAAACCCTGAGGTCACACAACCAATAGAGGACAACAGTGTATTTGACGGTGGTAAGTTTAAAATTAATTTGGAGAGAAAATTAATTTAGTTCATTTATATATAGATACGAGAATTTCTGCCCAAATTAAGATACATTATACTGATTTTCAAAGAAATAAAAATTACATGAAGAGAAGATGGGATAAAAGCACAGAAGAAAGTAATTTGAAATTTTTTTATGCAAATCATGTAGAATTAAAAAAATATATATCTTTAATCATATAAATAAATATTTTGTTAGTTATTTAATTGAGAATTTTTAATAATTTCAGGCGGCGAACCCAGAACTGTGCTGACAAGGTCGCCGGCCACCCCTCAACAGGCGCCCTCGCAAAGCAGCCATCCTCAGGCGATGGCGCACTCGCCGCATCCGCCGCCGCCCCCGCTGCACCACCTGCAGCCACCATCCTCAACCCCCACCTCCTCGCAGCCAGTAACCACCATCATCTCCAGCAACACCAGTCCACCCTCGTTCTGGCCAGTGTCGGCGCCCAGCCAGGTGATCACGCAAAACCCGTCCAGCTTCCTCTCCAAGATGAACATGGGTGGAGGAATGCGGCCCAGCGGCCCCCCGGGCATGATCCCCATCAACAAGAGCCCCCAAAGCCAGCAGCACCACCTCAGCCCCAGCAGCAGCGTCAGCCCCCAGCAGCGGCTGCGGACACCAACTGTGATAATGGGAGAGGTGGGGGGCGTGCGCACCATGGTGTGGTCCAACAACCAGCAGCACCAGCAGCAGCAGGAGCACCACATGCACCCTCACCAGTCCCACATGCAGCAGCCGCCCCAACAGCCCCAGCAGCAACCCCCTCACCCCTCCAAGCTCAACTACAGCACTGAAGAGCAGATCAAGATGTCCGTCGACGGACTCCTCAGCCTCGGCCAGGACAACTTCCACTCCCACCCCCACCCCCACCACCAAGCTCCCCAGCCCAACCAGTCGGTCATTCGCACGGAGAGGCCGCATTTCCAAACCCCGCTGAACATGGAGCGCCTATGGGCAGGGGATCTCAGCCAACTGCCCCCGGCGGCGGCGCCTCTGCAGCACCCGGAACTAAATCCACAGGTTTGTTATTTTTCAAAAATTTGTTACTTTCATAATCTTGAATTTTTTATCAGGCACTAAACCTGACCTCGTGGGGTGGAAGGCCGCAACCTCATATCAAGATGGGTTCTGCTCCCATGAGCACGCACATGGAAGACGAAGCAGACTACGAGCCGCCCATGGTGTGCATGATCTGCGAAGACAAGGCCACCGGACTGCACTACGGAATCATTACGTGCGAGGGGTGAGTCTGTCGATGAGTGGCTTCTTTAGCAATAGATCAGAATCCTAACCTCCTAAAAACTAGCTCTCATGCATCTCTCGGTGGTTGGTTCATTAATGGGTGGTAGATTTGCAAATCACTGGGATGTTATTTTTTGCATTCATAATTAATTTTAATTATCTTAATTGTTTTCTGGTGTTCAAAGAACGCTGAGATTTTTATTTTTGCTTGTAGTATTTTATATTTGTCGTAGTTTTTTTTTAAATGTCATATTCTGCAAGAATATGGAAGCAAAGAAAATTTGTGATTGAGACTTATCAATGATAATTTAAAAATAATTTATTTGATGCTCAAATTGTTTTATAATTAAAAAAAATTATTGTTAATTAATTGAAATTGTTAAATTTGCAAAAAATATTTATTCTTGGCTAAGCTCTAGTAACTCTCCAGCTATTTGCACATGCTTATAAGCCGTTTATTTTTATTATAATAAATATAATGATTTTCACTCAATATCATGCAGTCATGCACGCTATAAATAGTGATTTTCATAACAGATGCGCTTTTGTGGTATTTTACACGTCGGTTCAAATTGATTATGCATAAAAGAATTAGTAAATTCCAATGATTATAAGTCATTGTTTCCGTGGCAAAAAGACTCATTCTCTACTTTTGGTCTGTCAGGTGCAAGGGATTTTTCAAGAGGACAGTACAAAACAGACGGGTGTACACATGTGTCGCGGACGGTAACTGCGAAATCAACAAAGCGCAGAGAAACCGCTGCCAGTATTGCCGATTCAAGAAATGTATAGAACAAGGCATGGTTTTACAAGGTGCGAAAAACTTCTCATTTCTTTCAAAAAAAATTTCCAAACCTTCAACTCCGGATCAATTCTAAAAAACCTGAAAACCCTTTTAGCTGTCAGAGAGGACCGGATGCCCGGAGGAAGAAATTCTGGAGCCGTTTATAACCTTTACAAAGTAGGTTGCAACAATAGCTCTCGGCTAGCGCCCGTACTCAGTCGCGAGTTGTTTCACTTGCAGGTAAAGTACAAGAAGCACAAGAAGTCACCGGCGGGGGCTGTATGCAAGAACCACGCCATCAACGCGCTGCACCACCCGTCGGCGCTGACCAAGTTGCAGCAGCAGCAGCTGGCCACTGTTGCCCACTTAGCCACCGAGAAGCACAAGGAGTCACCTGGCAACTCTTTGCCGCCTCATCTTGTCAATGGACTCATCCTAAAGACTGCTCTAACTAACCCTAGCGAGGTAACGCAAAACTGAGAAAAAAAATTTGTCTCTAAATGGAAAATATTCCACAGGTTGTGCACTTAAGGCAAAGACTGGATAGTGCAGTAAGTTCCTCTAGGGATAGACCAGTAATGCCTTTTGAAGCTAGCTTAAGCCTCATCCAAACGCTGATAGACTGTGACGAGTTTCAAGATATCGCAACTCTCAGGGTAAGAAAAATAATTAAAAAATTAATTCAAAAAATTTATATATAAATTATATGCAGAATTTGGAGGAGCTTTTGGACCATAAGAGCGATCTCAGTGAAAAGTTGTGCCAGATAGGTGACTCGATAGTTTACAAACTGGTGCAGTGGACCAAGAGATTGCCTTTCTACCTGGAGTTGCCCGTTGAGGTAAAAAATTGCTTGAAAAATCTCACCAATTTTTAAATTACAAAATAATCTCAATTTTTAATATTTATATAATGTTCTTGTGCGTAAATTAATAAGAAAAGATAATTATTCAAAATATTGACCTTTATTGATTTCTCAAATATTAATTTGCATATTTTGTCTGCAGGTTCACACGCGGATGTTGACTCACAAGTGGCACGAACTTCTTGTGCTGACGACCTCAGCCTATCAAGCCATTCACGGCAAGCCTTTCGACCAGGAGACAGATTTCAACCAAGAGGTACGCATTTGTACTATTTTTTTCTTTACCAGTGTTAATATGTTTCTTGAGCAGGTGGCCAACAATCTAAGCACACTCCAAGCGTGCCTTTCCTCCATGATGGGGCGCCACATTACGATGGACCAACTAAGGCAAGACGTTGGCTTGATGGTGGAGAAAATCACCCACGTCACCTTGATGTTCCGGAAAATGAGTCTTCGGATGGAGGAGTACGTGTGCCTCAAAGTGATCACCATGCTTAATCAAGGTTAGTAATAATAAATATTATGGGGAAAATGCTTGAATTATTTTTAGTGCCAATAATCAACAAAATTTTGAAACTTTTTAAGTATTAAATTGACCAGTTTTTTTTCATGTTGTTTCAAAATTAATAAAAAATAATCTAAATAATGTATAATATAGATATTTTTATTTTAATTTTTAGGAAGGACGGGTTGTGGGGAGCTTGAGATGATTCAAGAGAGATACATGAACTGCTTAAAGTGCTACGTCGAACACTCGTTCCCGCAACAACCGGGAAGATTTCAAGAACTGCTTGTGCGACTTCCAGAGGTACAATTATTTTAATTTAGAAATCATTCATAATTTTTAATATTGTATTTTACCAGGTCCAGTCAGCGGCTGCACTCTTGCTCGAGAGCAAAATGTTCTACGTACCGTTCTTATTAAACTCTGCTATCCAAAGATAGTGCCACGAAAAGCACAGTGTCCGTGACGTCACTGTGATCAGAACTGCCAAGTTACCAAGCAAGCCATCAGCAGGCAGGGAAGAGGACGACCGAGCGGCTCCGAGTAGCAGTGCCTCAGTTACCATTGTCGCCAACCCGGAGGCTGACTAGAGATTTTTAACAGGAGCCCTTAGGTTGGACATTGGCATTTTAGCAGAAGGAACATTTTTAAGTAAAATGTGAACCAAACAAACAAAAGCCTCTGCGTCGGTTGTGTACATAGAAGAAGAAAAACGAGCAGAGCTGCTGACAGACATTCGACCCCACCAACTTTTAACTTGTAATTTGTCGATTAAGTTGCGAGAGAGAGATAGAAAGTCCACCTGGCTGTGGATTGTGACCTTTTGAAAGGGGCTGACAATCGGCGCTCTTCACACAAACACATACTGTACAGAAGAACTTCTTAAATTATAAGCATGTTTGTCGACCGAGAGATATGTAAAAGAAAAGAGTTTATATCACTGTTTAATTTTGCTGTTATAAGTATTCTAGTGAATTAATTAATTGATTATTATGTTATTGAAAAAAATACGTGTATTTTGAAAAGCGAGAGGAAATTTAATTCGAATTAGGTGGTGATATAAAAAGTTCATGTTGTGCAATTATTATCACTTTTTACTTCCAGTGTCAATCTTCTTGACCTGCTGCTAATGCAAAAAGAGAGAAGAGAGTCGGTCCTATATTGATGATATGCGACTTTTTTCTTTTACTTAACACGTAAATTATAGAAGCACTAAAATGCGTTGATGCAGATTAGTACTGGACCGTGCTTTAAGGTTCCTTAATTTGCCCTGTCCTGCTGCTGGCGTGGCCCGAGTGCGCCCTTTGCTTTTACAGGCTGCACCCCTCTTTGGCTGTTTGCAAGTGCAATTTATTCAAACCAATTATCTGGACGTCCATTTTCTATCGACGGCCGCTGGGTGCGCCGGAAAGGGACACGCTCGGGCCAAGCAGCTAGGCCAGGGCGAGACAATTATTGGCAATGCTGATGACGTGTGTTGATTATTAGTGCTAAAAAAACTATTCTCTCAATTCATCTTCTTCTCCTTTTTCGGTTCTTCAGTATTTTTGTGGCAAATCCAATCAATTCGCAGCCTCTTTTTGAAAAAATTCAATTTAACTCAACATATGTAATACACAAGAAGGCATACAAACTTTGATCTCTTCTGGAGAGTTACAGCGGAATTGTTAAATTAAGACTTTGAAAAAAAAATATATCTATGTATGGAAAATTCTTCTCACAGACAAAAATAGACACACCATACTATTTAGTGTACATACAGTTCGTGTTTAAGAGAAATTTTGGAAGACTGCTGCTGTATGTTTTTGTCAGTTTTATCACAATATTAAAATACAATAAATCAATGTTGAAGATATGACACACACACAAAACCGCTGTTACATAATGGGTATATGAAAAAAAATGAAGCTGTAACCCTAACTCCTATACTATAAAAGTGTACTCCTGCCTGCAGATTCAGCACATTCTTGAGCGCTTGCACAAAAAATAAACCAAAAAATAGCGCGGCTCACAGCCGTCACCTTTTACACATGTCGTTTTTTAGAGCGAGATAAATGAAATGACACATCCGCGCTCCTTCTTTTTTCGGGGAGTCTAGCGCCGTGTCAAAAATCAATAAAACCAGCGCGACAAGAATGGGCTGACGAGAGCAGCAACCACTATGATTATACGTCTAATTGTCCTGAGTTACCATTTACACATTTGTCACACAATGTTTGTTCATTTTAGGATCGTTAATTATGGCCACAATTTTTTTTCTTGCAGTGAAATAGTTTCATTGCTGCGGGAGTTCATTTTTTGTTATCATTTGCCAATAAAGTTACTAATTTTTAGAAAGAAGAATAAAAATCCCGAGTGTTTCTCTTCAATTTTTTTACCAGGAATTTTTTAATTCAAAATATATTACAATTAGAATTGTATTAAATTATACCATATTCTTTATTAAATATAAAAATATTTTAACATTTACAACCTAACCCAAGTGAAAGGGCCTACAAAACTGATGTTCAAACTAGCATGGATTTTATCATTAACAAATATTGGAACTCATAGATTTGCGAAAATCGAACGACTAGAAATGAAATTGGAAATTTTGATCCAAAATGGGATGATTACGATCGCGGAAATTGTTCATCAAGCATTATCGTGGCTGAAGGATACGTCGGCCCTTTTGTAAAAGGCCCTGGTGTAATCAGCAGGTGAGGCGTGGTATCGACCTGTGATGGAGGGTCCAAATCGGCGCCACAGAATGACAATGGCGATGGTGATGGGCACGGCCAAAAGAACGCCAATCAGAACGCCAATGAGAATGGCGCCGTCTTTTTCAGGGTGATGGTCGTACAGGTCGAGGCACCTAAGGTGCTCCTCATTTTGCGCCAGGGTGTTGAAGGTTTGGCCTCGCATTTCAATTGGCTCATGACAACTAAAGAAATAAAAATAATTTATATTAAAATATTTCATGAAAATTTTGGAAGAGTAAATTGATGCTTTATAACCACAAATTCATGTGTATAAGTTAACACTGGTCAACACAAATTTAATGATAATTAAGAAATAATATGTGTCATAAACACACCAAAAATGAATTTCAAATACTTATTTAAATAAAATTAAAAACAACCAGATCATAAAACAAATTAAAAACCAACTAATAAAATTATTAATATATAAAATTTTAGGAAATAGAGTACATTTTAAATTTAAGCAACGAAAGATAAAATAAGTATATAAATAATTTCAGTTGATTATTTATTTATTTATTCTCCTGAGGTTTTACTCAAATCAGTTTGAAATAAAAGCACATATATTTTCTTAAATTTTAACACTGCTTTGCAATTTATTATAAATTTAAAAATTATTTTCGTGCCATTTAGCCCGAATTTAATTTTAATATATGACTCTTTATCTCACTATTTCATACTTTTTATCGTAAGTAGTTAATAAATAATTTCTTTGAATAAATTTAAATTTCTTAAAAAAAGCACTTATAAATTTAGGTAAAGTTACGTATGTAAATTAAATTGTAAAAATGTATTGAAAAAGCAATAAATGTAATTAATACAACTACTTTTTTTTTAAATAAAAAGAATATCAGTAATAACACTTACACAAGTGTTGGCGCAGCCATGCTATCCAAAATGTGAATTAAATCGGTAAGAATCCACTGACTGTCGCAGTCACAAACCCAAGGATTTCCCTGCAGACGCAACTCGTCCAGAGCGTCCCACCTGCGGAGGAGCTCCTTTGGCAAACGTCCCAAACTGTTTCCATTTAAGTGTAACTTGAAATTGTTTAAAAAAAATTATTAATTTTCCTATAAGTCATTGACCATTAAAAATCACCCTTCGCAACGTCCAGGAGTCACCTTCGACCTGACCTTTGAAAGCTTCAGGGTCGATGTACTGCAAGTGGACGTTGTCCACCATGATCAGTTCGACGAGGCTCTGCATTCCGGAAAACGCCTCTGCGCCGATGACCGTGAGATTGGGCAGGGAACACATGGAGAGGTGCTCCAAGGTGGGGAGGGAGGGGAACGAACCCTTTTCCAGATTCCTGATTGGATTGTCATCCAGGGTGAGGATTTTCAGGGTGTGCGTGTCAGCCAGCGCTTGGGTGGGAATTTCTATGAACGAATTGCCGGCCAAGTGCAATTCCTCCAAGAAACGCGGCGAGTGCAGACTGTGCATCGGAAGGGTGGTCAGACCAGTGTAACTCAGGTCAAGCACCTTAGAAGATAAAGAATTTAACGACAGGCTCTCAAAAATGTTTGTTTCTCAAAAGTACCTTCAAATAATCTAAACTGCTGATGGCGAGAACGGTAGACTGGTCAAGAACACTCAGTGGGTTGTATTTTAATGAGAGTTCGGTTAAAAAGGTCAGGTGCTCGAAAAGGTCCTGGTCTAGAGAGTGAATTGCGTTGTACCCTAGGTGGAGCACACGCATTTGGCGCATGGGTTCGTAACCGTCAGGAGCGTACAACCCTCTGAATACCTAAAAATATATTTTTATATTTTAAATTTTTAAAGAGGTTTTTGTTTAACCTGAGGTCTGAGTGTTTCGGACGTGAGTTGGTTATTGCTGAGGTCAAGGTAGGTCAAATTTGGCACGTGCATGAAGGCTAGGTCGTCAATCAGGGTGAGTTGACAGTGACTGATGGACAACTTTTCCAGCGTCGGAATTGAGCCCATGCTTGTCAAGTGTACAAGTCGGTTGTGGTCAAAACGCGCTTCGATGGCCACGTCCTTTGGCCATTCGGTCGCGTTGGGCACCGCGGTCAGCGCTTTGTCGGTGCAATCGACCAAGGTGGAGGTGCCGGGGGTGCATTGGCACTTGCTGCAGATCTCCTGGGCCAGGGCGCTGCAGCCGACGAGCAGCACAAGCGCCGCGACAGACCAGCGAGCGGCCATCATTATCGAGAATGCTATCTGTTGATTGCGATATAAAATAATACTCACCAAAGCAAATAAAGCTAGGTGTATAAGGAATAAGATTGGATTCCAAAACTATTACGTCTAAAGTTTTTTATTAAATTATAGTGTTGTTTTTTTGTACAATAAGTATCTAGAAACTGAAGAAATTGTTGAAATTAAATTTAAAAATTATAATTAACAAGGAAATTGTTGATGTAATATTGAAAGTAATTATTTTAAAATCTTAACTTATTTTTACAATTATAAATCGAATGCAGAATATTTTAAAATTTTACTATAGAAAGCAGGAAAGTTTTCATTTTGATCAACTTACCTAAGAGTGTGTGAAGTCAACTTGTGAGAGGAAGAGCAGTGTGGGGCCGTTAAAATTATTTTTCTCCAACGCTTCGTAATACCTTTATGGGCCAGACTGGCTGAGCGATGTTATCAGCTATCAGCGAGCTGATAACGCAAGTAATCTTTGTTTCCATGACAACCTTTGGCATGATTGTTGTGAGCCTCACGCACTGACTCACATCGCGTCAGCATTTACTTACTTAGAAGTGCGAAGGCGTGTGTTGATTGCGAGGAGACTGAAGAGCGAACGGCGAAAGGAAGTTTTGTTGGACAAACATTGGACGGCCTCGGCTTTCGCTTCGATAGAGAAGAGTGACACAAATCGACAGTTGACAGAGCGGCGCCTTATCTTTTGATAAAAAATCTCACTCTTTTCCTTAATGGGAATTTCACCAAAACTCTCAACAATCATTTAAAATTACTGATTCAACACATGAGCAGTTAATAAAAAAAAAAAAAAAATGAAAGCAAACAAAATTGACTAAAGTGCAAAAAGCGCCTCGTCATCAGTGCGCGTTTTGTTGTGATTCAGCCATAGGGAACTGATTTTTTTTTATACATTTTCCTGTCGATATTTCCGCCAAATATGAACACCTCGTCATGAAGTTCTAAATTATTCAAAAAGGGGCTCTATTGGCGGCGTAAATGCTCAGTCAGTCTTCAAACTTTTCTTGGAAATATGCATTTTCTTTCACGATTGCTGATATTTTTCTTCTTCAAATTAACAATCTCCTTAACTGAAGTTCAAGAATTTCAATTCATTTCTGATTACTGCGTTTCTAGAAATTTTAAAAGTGTGACTCTTATCCCACCACGACAAGACTATTCTGATGACAGCAGTTCCAGATATTTTCCTTTACTGAATTTATTGAACCAAAACGGAATTCGTTTTGCTGTTTCACCTCCTATCTTGTTCACCTTCTCAAAAATTTCCACTCTTTACGTTATTTATCACAGAAATGACGCCCTAAACGAAATTTTTAGCCTACGCGAGGTAAGATATTCTTTTTAAATTTTGTGTCTATATACAATTTAATAAACATAAAAGAATGAACATCTGGCTGCCAGTGGAAAGAATTGGCTTGTTTTGACAAAAGGAGACGATATTGAATACGAAAATGCAGCAAAAAATATAACATTGAGAGTAGACAGTGACATCATGGTAGCGAAGGTTTTCAAAAGTGCAGTAGAGGTAAAAAATAATCATGTGGTGAAAAATCGGGCTAATTTCAAGAATTTTTAAGATTTATGAAATTTACTCGACTGGTCAGCACAAGCAAAGTCGAATTTTGGGCTCATGGAATGCAGATTCAGTCAATAGACTCAACCTTTATGGATTCAATAGGCCTAAATTAATCAGACGACGAAACTTGATGGGAATGAAAATCAAAGTGTCTTCAGTTTACGTAAGTGCAAGAAAATAGGCAACCTGCGAAACGTCGCCGTCACGCGGGTTGCATCGCCAGCTTCAAAGGGGTCTCAAACTGATACGCATGAATTTTCACAGCTTAATCCGCAATACACGATTCTCGGAAATGACGCGAACAACAAATCCATTTTTGTTGGAGGCTACGCTGGGAAAATTATGAATAATTTCAAAGATATTCTGAATTTAACGTAAGAAACTTTAAATTACCTATTTTTATTTATTTTTGATAAAATTTAGCTTTGACATTAAACCTCTCCATGGGTACTCTTACGGATTGTATGAACCATCGAATGACAGTTGGTCTGGACTGATGGGCGACTTGCAACGAGGAGAGGCTGATGCAGGAGGATGCGAAATTTCAAGTGCAGCTAACAGATTGAAATATGTTGATTTCACGCAGCCTATACAAATTATAGGGTAAAATTTCTGTTATTTTTTTCTTCAAAAATTAAAGCAGCCTTTTTGCAGGCGGCAGCTGCATTACAGAAAGCCGGATAGGCAGTTCAACTGGGACACATTCTTGAGACCGTTTTCATCAAATATCTGGATAGCATTGAGTCTCACTTTACCACTTGCTGCTGCAATCAAGTTTTCGCTTTACAAATTATCCTTATCCTTTGATGCGGATAAAGAAGGAAAGACGAACTTCGGAGCTGACTTTTTTGGAGCTTATTCAGCTCTTGTTTTGCAAGGCAAGAAAGCTGGCGATTTCTTTACTGACAAGTCCAAAATTTTGTGCTTTTTTAGGCTGGTCTGGCTACTTTGGAGCACCGTCGAGACGATTTTTCATATGGACGGTATTTGCCTGCTACATGATAATATCTCTAGCATATTCAGCAAAGATGGTAGCGATGAGAACAAACGAAAAACCAGAACTGCCGATTAACAGTTTGGATGATATTTTGAACAAAGGAGATTGGGATTTTGGATTCATTGCGAAAGCTCTGGAGCGAGACATGTTTCAAGTAAATTAAAACTTATCTAAAGGGAATAAAAATTGAAAACCTAAAGTTAGTTTGCATCTCCCAACAGTCTGCTGGGGAAAATTTGGAAGAAAAAAATTGAAGCGAAAAAGAAGCAAACCCTTGTAAACGACATTCAGAGCGGACTGTCTCGTGCTTTCAACGCAAAGTACGTCTTCATGTGTTTCCAACTTCCAGCACGAAAAATATTGCACAATCAATTTGGATTGGAAAAAGCATGTGAAATTCACGTATTAAAGGAGGTTTTCTTCAAACATGGATTATCGATCGGTCTTAAGAAAAACTCGGAACTAAGAGAAATGTTTAACCACAGGTTTACTTTAAAATTTTAGATAATAATATTGATAGTAATTTTCTTCCCTTTTTTTCCTAGGTTAATGATACTCTTAGAATCTGGGTTGTTGGACATTGAACTGCAGCACTCCATGACTAAGGAGGCAGTTTGCGAAATTGAAGCTTTTACAAAAATTAATATTTTGGACGTGGCACCGGCTTTGATACTTTTAGGGTTTGGCATGGCAGTGGCACTATTTGTTCTGGCTTTAGAGTGCGCTTGGATTTGGCGAAAGAATCGACTATCAGACATTGAAAACCAAAGAGTTCTCAACATACTCTCAAATTTTGAATCTAAAAAGGAGCTGATATTTTTAACTAATCATCACAATCATCGAACTATAGGCAGAAATGAAAATCCCCTGGTCTACCCATAGTAAATGTTTTGAGAAATGACAAATATAACTTCTTAGAAAATAAAAAGAATTATATTTACTGTGTGTACAAACTGGCTGCAAAAACAATATCCCTCTTGATGGAATTAGCAGCTTCAGTCATCTTCTCATGCAATTGTGTGTCTCCAATCATGCGGGCAGCATCCTGCGCATCCCTCAATGTTTCGCACAACTGCTGAATGCACCTGGTAATGATGCCTTCTTGATGGGTGGTCAGTTTGATGATCTCAGAAAACGGCTTTAAAAAATTCCAAAAATAAATATTCTGGCAAAAATATGAGCTTGATTCTTTTACCTCTCCCAAAGCCCACTTGTGAACAACTTCCATCAGTTCAAAGTTTAGCAAATCTGTGTAGACGTCCATTGAGTCTTGCGGGACTTGACAGTTGAATTGAGTCTGCTCCAAGTCGACTGCAATTTTCAGCGTCTCTTCAATGCTCTGCAGAAGAAGATAAAATAAACAGGTATTTCAAGAATTCTGTTTCCCACCTCCTTGAGAGCGTCTGTTGGGGCCATATCTCTTGGATCAGCACCACGGTCATCTTTACCACTCTTTTGTTGGAAGACCAAGCTTGAGAGAAGAGAGGCAATTTCGGCTGCTTCCAATTTGTTGAAAATTCCTCCAAGGATCATCTCGGTCATCAGCAATTCATGCGAGCCCATTTCACAAGCAACTTTTCCTTTCAATTGGACTGAAAGATAATTAATATTTACAGATTGCAAGAGAAAGAAAATAATTTTATCTAACCTGTGTTTGAGTTGTTGATGTACTCTCGTTGTCTTAACACCTGGATTTTGCTCTTGTACTCAGGGAACAAGGCCAGACTAGCATCTGACATCAAATGGCACACATTGTTCTTTTGCGACACAAGTTCTTGGTAGTGGAAGATTTTTGCAAACTGTTTTGAAATTATTTATAAAATGAAAAATAAAAATTGATGACATGCCTCTGTTTCAAAGTTTGCAATGTTTGCCAATTCGAGAAGAGAATCAACCTCAACTCTGAGGTTTAAGACAAGGTCAGCGTTTCTCCTCTTTGTGATTTCGGTGACATTGACATCACCAGAACTGTTGATCAGAATAGGTCGCAGAGGAAGGCCAGGAGTTTGAACAAGCCGAGTCAATTCTTCCACTGCATAAGAACATGCAGCCCAAGGCGGATCGTTCCTAATAAATACATCAAACTATAAATAAATTTCTTAAAAAGTAACACTTGACTTACTTGAATCTTGGGTTTTGCCTCTTTTCCCAGTCCCCAATTACTTTTTCTGGCTCAATTTTCAAAAACAGATTGTCTGCTATGTACCAAAGATCGGCTGGGTAAGCATTCAAGATTGTATGGGAATTTCCCAATGCAGTTGAGTAATTGGTACCTCGAGACAATCCGAGCATTTGGTACCTATTAAATTGAAGAGTAAAAATAAATGAAATTTAAACGGAAGTCACACCATTTGTCTGGAGCAGTGTCTTTTGTCACCTCCTCCTCCTCACAGAGAACCAAAATGCGGTAGATAAGTCCAAACTTCCTGCTTTGATCGACTTTCAAAACAATGCCCAACTTGTTCACATGTCCAGGTTTGGTCACAAGAACCACCACTCCAGGCACAACCTCTTTACTAGGCCCCATTTGTTTCATCAAATCAACCTTGAGAATTGAAATGAATTCAATACACAAATTTATAAATTCAAAACTCACAGCAACTTTGCTCCACTCGTACAGCCACACATCGGACGCCTTGAAGAACTGAGTCAGCTGTGGAACCAGGGCTCCATTGGGTTCTTTCATTTTGATAAGTTGGTCCTCAAGATTCTGCAGAGATCCTTTCAATTTTTCTGCATTCAGCTGATGTCTTAACTCCCTGAATGAATTCTTCATCATGCCCTCAACAGAAATTGAGTCAGCTCGGAGCAAAGTAAGAATCATGGCATACGTCAATCGGAACTGGGATTGCAAATGAGTAGGCATTCCTGAAAAAATAACGCACATAAAATTAAAATATACAAATTTCTCTTCCCTTTTTTACCAAGCATCATTCCTCTCAACTCAAGTTCAGACGGGATGTCATTCATACACAAGATCAAAACTGTTCCAGTTGCATCAATACCACGCCTACCAGCTCGTCCAGCCATTTGGATGTACTCGGCTGGACGAAGCAGTCGAGAGTCAGTTCCGTCAAATTTTGTGATGGAATCAAAGACCACAGTACGGGCTGGCATGTTGACGCCCATTGCAAACGTTTCCGTTGCAAACAAGAACTTAAAAAAATTTTTTAACTGATTTGATTTAATGTTACAAAAAATTACCTTCACAAATCCATCCTGAAACAGCATTTCCACAATTTCTTTAAGGATAGGGAGGATGCCACTGTGGTGGACGGCTATTCCTCGTTCCAGCAAATACTTCATTCGTTGGACCTTGAGTTTGCTTATTTAATTTTATAGAAAATTCTACTATAATAAAAATCACCTGTGGCAGTTGCTGGTCTGATTCTGTTAATTTCTTGATGCATTTGCTGAAGAAGGTATGCACATGGCTTTTCTCTGATTCACTCAACATGTCAACGGAGCTCATGGAATCAGCATTAATGTCACAGCGTTTCCTGAAATAGAAGAAAATTATAACAAAGAAGTTTACTTTTCTTGCTTCAATACCTTGACAGAGTAAAAGCAACTGCAGGCAGTTTTTCTCGTTTCTTCAAATCTCTAAGCAGAGACACCCAAACTGTTTGTTCTTGTGAAAACGAAAGTGGTTTTGAAGGTCTGGCCTGCTGCCTGCCAATCTGAGGCGCCGGGGCACCTCCTCTTCCTCCCCTGCCACCTCTCTGGTTGCCTCTGCCTTGGGGTCCACCTCGACCACCTGGTGCTCCTCGTCCTGCCTGCTGAACTTCATTTTTCTTCATTTTTGTTTCATTTGCAGCCTTGATCCTGATATTAGAGAAATAAAAATGATATAAATAATGAATACCTTGAATAGTTTTTTTGTAACCTACTAGCTTTGAAATAATTAGAGCAGACTTACCCTTCCCCTAGGAAATTGCTGTTTGCATCCAAAATCAAATGCATCCTTGTGTTGACGTTTTGATTGAATCCTAAGTACAAGAAGTGCTCCAACGGAACAGGACGTTTTGGTGTCGAAATCACAAAAACCTTCTTCTTTTTTGTTCTGCCAACCCAGCCTGCAAACTCAAGTGTGTTGGGAACTGTGGCACTCAACATGACGATGATCACATGCGGAGGGAGTAAAATCAAAACCTCCTCCCAAACGTGGCCTCTCTGCAAAAAAAAACCTTGTTTTGTTTGTCCGATCAGAAATTTTCAATAAATACCTCAGCGTCATTAATGTAATGGACTTCGTCAAAGATGACGTACTGCAAGTCATTGATCACGTCAGAACCAGCGTAGAGCATACAGCGCAAAATTTCTGTTGTCATAACAAGACATGAAGCTGTTTGGTTCAACTGTATGTCTCCAGTGATGAGACCAATGTCGCCGAAAGTGTTGTGAAAGTCACGGTATTTCTGGTTGCTCAGCGCCTTTACAGGTGAAGTGTAAATTGCTCTAGTAGGACATGAACCAATTATTTAAATTATGATTTCTTTCATACCCATCAGGGTTACCTCGTGTTGTTTTTTCTGGACATTGCAATGGCATATTCAGCGACGACCGTTTTGCCGGCTGAAGTGTGTGCTGCAATGAAGACATGATGGTCTTGCTCAAGATGAATGATGGCCTGCTTTTGGAAAGTGTCCAGCTCGAAAGGATATTTGTGAGCAGGGTTTGGAACCTGAGCTTCAAAGTCATCAACAGGAATGGTGACATCTATGATCTTGGCCCATTCGGTGGATGAGTCGTCAGCTTTGACGCTGAGAGTTTTCACAACAGCCGGTTCAGGTTGTACCTGCAATTTCATAAGATATCAAATTTTAGTTAAAAAAAAAATAAAAATCCATACATGAAAATAAATTAAAACATACTTTGACTGGAATTTCTTTCTTAATTTCCACAGGAGCTTTGGTTTCAACTGTTTGCTGAGGGGCTGCAAGGCTTGTTGTTTCTGGTTGCTCGTCATCCCAGTCGCCAAGAAGGTCAACGTCTCTCCTGAGGGCCTCAGACAAATCTACAACGCTTGGCAATTCTGACATGGTGTTTCTGCGGTCTCTTTAAGTATAAAATTGACAAAATAAAACATTTTATTGTATCATTTGAAATAAAAACTGTTTGCTTAAGAGTAAATTTTTCTTAAAAGTGCTGTGGTTACAGCTGTACTGCAAATAATCTTAAAAAAATAGTGTTTTTTTATTTACGTATTTTACACAATTATGTATAATGATCAATTTTATTTATGCAGTACATATATGTTATCGTGTACCTCAAGCTTCAAACAGGAGAGACAAAATTATGCTCGGCTTTTTCTTTCAAGGGGCGGGTTAAGAAACAAAGCAATCACAGATCAACGAGAATCCTCAAATATTAATAAAAATATGTGTTGATTGTATACATCAACAACATTTCGATCTGTCAGATGATGATGTTGTGTTGCTTTCAAAACTCAAATTACATACTCAAAAGACCACGACCACATGTGACAACATGTTTACATATGTATGGAGGTGTCAGTAAGGAGATAACGCATTTCCATTGAACCAAAGCTAAAAACTTAATAATCAGGTATATTTTGCATCTATTTATTTAAATATTGATACTAAGAGTAATAAATATTTAAAAAAAAAATTAAAATTAAATAAAATTTTAATTGGAAAGTTATTTACAAGTCTCCCGTCTGCACACCGACCCCCCGCGCTAAAGCCACAAAAATCAAAACAAAAACAAAGCAGCACCATTGGCACCACACATCACCTGAATTACCTGAAAGCATTAAACCTGCATTAAACATTAAACCAAGCATAAACTTAAATTTTTGCAACTTGAGGTTGACAAACCGAAATAATTATACATATATGTAATGCAGTTTTTATTTGAAATTCTAATTGACGTTGCAAGTCTTGTGTCTTCCTTTTACGACTTTGCTATCAATGGTGTGAACTAGCGAAAAAGCTTAAACATGATGCGAAAACAAGAACTAAACAGTTTACGGTCCCCTTCTTCACTTGATTTTGACGTCGATGTTGGCAGCAAAGTATTTGCAAAACTCAAAGGTTTTCCGTCATGGCCTGCAAGGGTATGTGTGTTCTGTATTTAATATTAATATTATTTATTACATATAACTTTATGTACTATGTATGATGTATGTATGTATATATGATATGCAATATAAATGCAGCCTTTATACATATAATGATATAATTTATAACCTAATTATGTAATTTAACAATTTTTAGGTTGAATATATTCATGTAAACAAAACGGACTCTGCTCAAAACAAATATGTCGTTAGATTCTTTGGGACACATCAAGTGTAAGTAAATTTACATAATTATGGAACACATCAACACACACACACACATACTTTAATTCTAATTTATTTTTAAAATTCATACTATCCTAAAACTTTGGCAATTTTGCATGTTATCTGGTTCACTTTGCAGAGCCACCGTGAAAGCATTAAACCTTGCTGAGTTCAGTAAGATGGTCAGTATAACTAAAACCTTCAGCATACGCAAGGGACTTCGGGAAGCTCTGAAGGAGGCCGAAAAGGAACCGGACTTTCCACCAGAAACTGAAAAGAAGCCTAAAGAAAAAGCAGGTATAAAATATTTGAAAATAATATACAGAAACTATTTCCTTTTTTCATCATTAGTTGAAAAGAAAAGCACCAGACGTGTGGATGCATTAGAAAATCTTATTGGAAGAGATGACGAGATAAGAGAGATTCTTAGAAGAATTGAGCTGACTTCCGGGGAGATCTCGGAGGATTCCTGCGAAGAATTTTCAGACAAGGATGAATGTGAAGATAGCAGCTCCGAAGAGGAAAGTAATGAGGTCCTGTTAATGGAATTAGTTCGAACCTGTGCAGAACGCTACAAATTGCCTGATGCTCTTGAAAAGCTGAAAGAACAATTGGACGCCAAAGTTAACAAAATACACAATGTTTGGTCTCAAGAACAGCTGGAGGAACTCATCAGGAAGGAGCAAAGCAAAATTCCAGCAAAGGAAAAGAAAAGAGTCTCAATTGGAAATGAGAAAGAGAAGAAAAAAGAAAAACGGACATTGAAATCAGGCAAGGTTGTTAAAAAGAGGGCGGCAAAGGAATCCAAATTGGTAGTCACAAAGGCGAAACTTAACCAAGTTAACCGTGAAGAAGGACAAAGTCAACTTGTTGAATGCAACGTCCCAATTATTAAAACTGAACCAGCCTTTGAATCGGAAGAGGTCGAAAACTCGCTGCCCCAAATCGAAGATCCAGACGATCCAACGGTACAATTTTTTAGGATTAAGCTTGCAGAAAATGAATTGGTATAATTGATTTTTTAATCCGTCTGTGCAGCAAAAAGTTTATTTCACCAAATACTACTCAAATAAGGATATTAGCAGGATGAAGAAAATACTTAAGATTGCCGATAATCCCTACTTCAGTTACATCCTAAAACTGATTGCCAAATACTCGCCAGAGTACCTCAAGAAAAAGTACGAGTCGCCTCTGAAAATAATTTATTTTTATTAATATACTATATTTTTGATCATTCAGGTATGAAAAAACAGAAGAGGCTTTCATCCAAATGTCTTGGCAAATTGCTCAACTGATGCAGTTGAGCAACGAAGAACACAAAACAAAAGAGGTAATCGAACTCCTCAAGAAAATGATACAACTGGACATCTACAAGATCATGCTTTATAAAAATACTAGAGAGATGATGATCATATTCATGCTGACCAAATACGTTGGTCATCCAAAGAGGCATCTTCTTCCTGAGAAACAATTAGTAAATATTATTTTGGAAAAAATTTATTAGGTACTACATAAAATTCTCTGGCTCTATGTGCAGGCCGAGATAGAAACTGATGCAGAGGATATTAGGAACTTGGCTTCCCTTATTTTTGACAAATTTAAGGTGATAAGAAAAACATGGTGTATACGATTTAAAAAATATAAATTTTAGAGAGCGATTTTAGACCTTCCTCCTGGGACCAGTTGCCTGATCAAAGGCCTTGCATCTGAAATGAACCACAGAATTTATGAAATCATCCGAGAGAAGCAAAACATTGTCGAAGAGCTTGTTAAAATAAATAACGACCAGATTTTGCAGCTCCATCAAGAGACACATGGTACAAAGTAAAATTACGTATCAGTAAACAAAAATTGATGTTTGGTTTTATCAGCAATCTACATGACAGAAACAGAATACTACCGTTGGTTGGATCTGAAATCAGAGCAGCTGGCTAAACACGGGATAGACGGATCAAAATAGCTGATCGGCAAGGCAGTTGCATGAGCAAGACAAATTACGGGACGCTTTTTATTTTATATTTAAATCAATCAAAAGTCGCATCTTTAAAGTTTTAAAATTATTGTTCAATGCTAAAAACAAGCAGAATACAGGTATAATGCATTTTTCCAGGAATGCATAGTAAATATGTTAAACGTCCAATGTTAAACCGGCCAAAATATTAAAAAATAAGTGTGATTGTTCAAAGAGCTATGTTAAATTGTGACACACTTGTGAGGAGTTTGTTTATTCCAAAAGTATTATATTTTTAGCCAAATCAATTTTAATGGGAGATATTATAAATATTTTATCAATTAAGTCGTATTGATCCAATAGTTATTTCAAATTTCCGCAAATTTCCTTTGTAGAGAGAGGGATATGTACTTTTCCGTTGACCATAATTTTTAATATTTGATTTTTGTAATTCATTTTTTTTTATTACTAAATAAAGAGCCACAAATTTGCAAAATGGTAATAATTTTATTTTCTGCAATAATATAACATTGAATTTTTGTGTATTCTAAAACGACTATGAACTAATTACTGATTCTCGCTTCCGAAATTTGCGAATTAACAAAAAATTAATTCCCTTTCACTCTCCTCATTACGCTTTCATTGAAGTAGTGATGGGCAAAAAGTACCGGTACTTTTACGAGTACCCAAAGTACCGGTACTTTTACTCGGTACTACCGAGTACATTGGAGTGGTACCGGAACCGAGTATTTTCGAGGAAAGTACTCGGGTACCGAGTACTCCGAATACTCATTTTTTTAAGCGCCTCCAGAAAAATTTTCGGCTGAAAAAGTCGTCTAAATATGTGAATTTTGGTCCGATTTTGACCAATTTTTTTTTTATTTTTCTTTGGCATATTTTCGAAACCAATTCAGAAAAAAAAAATATAAAATTCAAAAAATTTCCTTTCCTAATAGGCATTTAAAATTAGGGTTTTTGAAAATTTTTAAAATTATATATCTCTCTGGTTCCTGAAGTAACAGACACTTAAATCCAACGTTTTTGATGAACTAGTGTTGATGCCAATGACAATTAACAATGGCCACGCCATAGCCATGCCATGGCCACGACATAGCCATGCCATGGCCACGACATAGCCATGCCATGGCCAAAACATAGCCATGGCATGGCCACGACATAGCCATGCCATGGCCACGCCATAGCCATGCCATGGCCACGCCATAGCCATGCCATGGCCACGCCATAGCCATGCCATGGCCACGCCATAGCCATGCCATGGCCACGCCATAGCCATGCCATGGCCACGCCATAGCCATGCCATGGCCACGCCATAGCCATGCCATGGCCACGCCATAGCCATGCCATGGCCACGCCATAGCCATGCCATAGCCATGCCATGGCCACGCCATAGCCATGCCTTGGCCACGCCATAGCCATGCCTTGGCCACGCCATAGCCATGCCATGGCCACGCCATAGCCATGCCATGGCCACGCCATAGCCATGCCATGGCCACGCCATAGCCATGCCATGGCCACGCCATAGACATGCCATGGCCACGCCGTGGCCACGCCATAGCCACGCCATGGCCTTGACATAAATTGTGAAATTATTATTCTCAAGAAGAAACCATAATATATGAAGAATCACGCAGAAAAAAAATAATATTATATTGATATCTAAGTTGTTATTATTATTAACAATAAAATTGTAAGTATAATCATTGATTTTCTAAAAAAAAAAAAAAAAAAAAAAATGGAAACTCTTTAAGCATTTCATCAAATATAATAATAGTTAGTAAGTCTCATAATAATTTTAATATATGGAAATGGAAAAATTTACCAGATCCATGCAACTTTATTAATTAAATTATTGGAATTATGGTGATTTGAATTTAAAATCCACGTCCGAGAAAATTTTGTTGGTCAGATCAGACTCGCCTGACGCGACTGACTCGCCTGACGCGACTGACTCGCCTGACGCGACTGACTCGCCTGACGCGACTGACTCGCCTGACGCGACTGACTCGCCTGACGCGACTGACTCGCCTGACGCGACTGACTCGCCTGACGCGACTGACTCGCCTGACGCGACTGACTCGCCTGACGCGACTGACTCGCCTGACGCGACTGACTCGCCTGACGCGACTGACTCGCCTGACGCGACTGACTCGCCTGACGCGACTGACTCGCCTGACGCGACTGACTCGCCTGACGCGACTGACTCGCCTGACGCGACTGACTCGCCTGACGCGACTGACTCGCCTGACGCGACTGACTCGCCTGACGCGACTGACTCGCCTGACGCGACTGACTCGCCTGACGCGACTGACTCGCCTGACGCGACTGACTCGCCTGACGCGACTGACTCGCCTGACGCGACTGACTCGCCTGACGCGACTGACTCAATAGTTATTTCAAATTTCCGCAAATTTCCTTTGTAGAGAGAGGGATATGTACTTTTCCGTTGACCATAATTTTTAATATTTGATTTTTGTAATTCATTTTTTTTTATTACTAAATAAAGAGCCACAAATTTGCAAAATGGTAATAATTTTATTTTCTGCAATAATATAACATTGAATTTTTGTGTATTCTAAAACGACTATGAACTAATTACTGATTCTCGCTTCCGAAATTTGCGAATTAACAAAAAATTAATTCCCTTTCACTCTCCTCATTACGCTTTCATTGAAATTGAAGTGAAATTGTAAATAACATTTTGCCCACCAGAGGTCTTCAGCGTTGTCTTCCGCAGCTGCATTGACGACGGAGCCTCTTGCGGCAAAACAGGCAACCACTGCAATGACAGAATGTCTTTCATTGCCAACGTGAATGTGTTAATACGAGGCGGTGAGCGGTCGACTTCCCTTATTAGTGGGGGACGAGTTACGTTGGTAGCGGCCAAAGCGACTTCTTCAGTCTAGCAGCAGGGCATGAAAATTGCGAAAAGCAGCAGCTTCACCATACACAAGCAAGCACAGCACCGACTGGGACGGAGCAGATGTAACTCAAGACGGTCACTGTTTTGAAATGGATACTCGGCAGGTATGTGTGAGAAGGCAACAGTCTGCTCATCTATTCTTAACCCTTTCGCAGGCAACGCACCTAGGATTGTTCAAAGCCTTGCAAGTGGGGTTCGCATCGCCAAAAGACAACAATAGTTGTTGTGAGGGGCATTAGCATGTTTTTGTCGCTCACTCATTAGATTTCCTGCTGTTTTTCGCCAACGGTGCAAAGTGGGCGAAAGCAGATTTCGGGTCCGTTTTTGCACAATGGGGGCGGCCAGGGTCGTTATTTAAATTACTCATCAGCCCGAGGACGTTCTCATAGATAAAAGATAAGCGAACACGCCCTTTGTGTTTTTGTTGCAGATCTGACAAGACGATGAGCTGCTTTTGTCCGTGCGGGATGACTTGAATCACCAGCAGCAGATTTCCGTGTGCGTGTGTCTGCTGCTTCAGGCCTTTGGACCTTTCTGACTTTTCGTTTATTTTATCAGCGATTTATATCAGTTCGTGTTAATTTTTCGTGACGTGTGCTGCTGACCGTCCGTCGACACCTTTGACAGGATAGAGATCCTCTGCTCGACATTCATGATCGACAGGTAAGAAAATTCGTACATTATGAACTTTTATTTTGACTGGGCCCTTTTATCCAAATTATAACCAAATGCTAAAAAAAGTTGATACTAATTCCGAAAAAAAATTCAGTATGTTTAATTAAATAAATTTTTTATTTTATCTCCAAAAGAAATAAAATGAAAATAACATAATTTTTTTATTTTACTTCCTGAGTAAGTTCTTGGAAATTCTTTAAAAGACAAAATGATACAATTTTAATGAAACAACAATTATTAAATGTTTAAGCCTAACTGTTATTATTATTAATTATTAGAAATAATTATTAATTTCTGCAAATTTTTAATTTTTTTAAGTGAGAAAAATTTAAGTGATTTGAATTGATTTGCAATGCATTTGGAGAACTCTTTGATTGCCACCCATTCCGCTGTGTTTTTTTTTAACGTTTAGCTGTTTTAATGTAATAATTATCTCTTAAAACCGGCGAAAAGTAATTAAAAAAGCAGGGATTTTGTGAAATCTTGAATCAATTACATCAACAAATCTTTGGAGCAAATTTGCTTGGTTTTTTTTTCATTCTTGCTTGTTAAAGAAATTCGTGATCAAGCTTCATAGAAAATAATGATAAAAATTACGAAAACCAGGTTTTGCCACTATCACTTGATAATAATACAGACAGAAGTGTGCACTATGTAAAATTTATATAGATTTACAATCTACTTTGGTTTGCAGAGCGTTTAAAACTCTGGTTCGCGGAAATCGAAAGAGAAAAACACTGCCGCAAAAAAAACTCGGCGAGGTGCTAAAAATACAAATGAGCGCAATGTTGGTCGGTCGCGCGCGATTTCCTGGTATACGAAACATGAATAATTCGCGCGCGCGTAAACTCTCGCCTTCGCACCGCAAGCAATGCGTAATTACACTTTTCAACTCGGAAAAGTTGAAACACCCAAGCTCGAGAGTGAAAAATGACGTCAGCCTCTCCTTTTGAACATTCTTGCTAATTAATAACTGTCTTGGCGAGAAAAATGAATATTTTCTTTTTTCGTTTGGGCAATTAGCACCGATTTGCCTACGTATTCAAATTTGTTCCTTTGAATTTAAACAAACCAAGCTCTTGACCTGCTGGCGTTGCTTCTTTTGGCAGGTTGGGCCAACGACCCAGTCTCTCCGCTTCATTAAACGAGCAGATTTTTATTTTTTTTTGTATCTCGATCCTTGTGCCCCTATCATAAACTTGTTTCTCATTTTTTCTGCTCTCAGTGGGTCGGCTCAATTTTTTATGATTGATATATAAATATTGGCCCTCTCTCTTTAAAATTTTTGTTTTTGTGTGTGCGAGAACAATTTGTTTTTCACTCCAATTAACGCGGGCGTGTTTCAAAACTATTGGCTTTCAGTTCGTGTCAATCACTTGACACGGCGCTTTAATATTTCACCCAGGCCGCTGACATATCTCAAATTGAAAATCTACCCTGTGTATTATTGCTATGGTGCTGACTATCCAAGAGTATATCTCCGGCATTAGAATGGTCACAGCTGAGATCTCTGCAGCCGAAAACGCGTTAATATTTCTTTGAGAGGAGGCGCACTTATACATGGTGGAATTTAAAATTGCTTTCCAGAGATCGATGCGGATGCGATGGAATCCGCAAGATGAAAACGCCCGAGGGGAAAGAAAAAACGTCCGCAGAGGGATGATAACCCGGAAATTTGAGAGTTTATGTGCATTTTTGTTGAAAATGTTTATATTTTCTAAGTCGTTAAATATGAGATTTTAAATATAATTTATATTTTAAAAGCAAAAAAGATTTCCATAATTTATCATACTTGTGAAAATCTTGAATTGTTTATATTTGGCAAATTATTGCTCACAGTATTGCTGGTGATAGATTAATAAACTGGATTTGAAAGTTAATTGTTGTGAAAAAATAGGAAAAAAGATTGCTTTCATAAATTGAAATTAAATAAGTTACAAGAAGAAATTTTACCCTTAAGAAAACAACAACATTATTCAAAATTGGATGAACAAAATTCCCCTGCAAATTCTTAAATGAAACTGAAATATTTGTATTCAAAATCACTTTCAAAGATCGTGAGAAATATAAAAATTTTCGTCGGGTTTTCTTGATGCCATAAATTATAAAATTTCATCGAGTCCACCTTTTTTTTCAAAAAATTATTGGTTCGGGTTGCACGGTTTTCTCCTTCGCGGGCCAAAAAGAAAAATCCCTGTGTTTTTATTGATCATTCACAAAACTCCATAAAAGCGACCTGGCAGACGTTCAACAAAAAGACCATAAATTTCAGGTTTCTTTCTCTCTTCACTTCGTATTCTTGTCTCGGACGCGCACGACTTTATGATTGAAGCGGGATCGAGAGTCGGTTTTTATTAAAGGCCCAAAATACCAACTGCACGCTTTCTGACCTTTCGTTTCGCTGCACTTAATTAGGCAGCCCCGAAATTAGGGCTCTTTTCCGCTGGCCGAGCCGCTCTCTGAAATGGGAAAATAATGGTACCTTACTCAGGCCACCCTGAATGCATCTCGCTCCCCTGCACGCTGCGGGTGAAATCACCTCCTGTCGAACATGTCGGTGCAAACAACTCTAGTGTGCAGGTAGTCGCCGACGGATGAGCTTTCTAATGCACCCTCTCAGGTCATTTTTTTTCCGCCACCGCCGACAGAGAGAAAAGGACCCTTCTGCCTGGGGGCGCAATTATTTGTTCGACGCCAGCATAGGATCTTCCTTACCTTGTTATTTAAAACAATTACGGTCGGCAGATTTATTACTTTAATGAGGCAAACAACAATTTTTTTTCACACGGGTGACTCACTGTGTTTGAATCTTTTAATTTGAGACCTTTTGCTAAAGGGAGGTCTTCGGAATGAATCGAGTTGCTCCAAAAAGAGGAAAGAAATTTGAAATTTATAAGTTATTGAAATTATTTAAAAAATAATTGTTAAATAATTTATTTCAAAGTTTTTCATGACCTTCTAAAAGAAACTTCAGTTAGAAAGTTAATAAATTTTCATGTAAAACGCCAAATGCAATTGTGAATTATAAAAGTACTTAGTTTCTTTCCAAAGAATAACGTTCAATTTCTTATGATTTTAAATGAGGAAATTTTACAGCTTGGAGCAAATCCAAAATCGCTTTGAAAGTTTTGTTTTCCTTTGCTCGATCGTCTTACGAAGGTGTGGAGCAGCATTTGCGCGCCAGGCGGGAAGTTCGGCGTAAATATCTATTTTGTCTTGGTGGCGCACGTTAGCGCCGAGTCGTGGATGAAATTTTAAGTCTGTTAAGCGCAAACTTTCATAATTAGCCATGTGTTATAAAAGCACGTTGCTTTAATGAGAACTGCCGTGCTGAGGAGGCGCGCATAAAATACCAAAGTTGAAGGCCGCGTGCGCGCCGGTACTTTACGGTTTGCAGGAAAACATTAAACGTTGATGCTAATGAAAAGTAATTGCTTTTGACGTTTTTTTATTCCCTCTCTTGTTTTAGTGTATGCCCGAGAAATTGCGTGCAAGCAAATTTTGACTTGAGCCCAGAGGAAAGACTCACTCAACAGGGGTCGTTAAAAGTCATAAATTTTAATGTTACAATCATCTAAAAACTTTGGAAAATGAAATTCTTGAATATAATAATATTATGTAATGCAAAATTCTCATGAATGAACCGATGATAACATGAAAACATTTAATTTTCTCTTAAGCCAGCTCTCAAGGTGTTGAAAGAACTAAATATTATAATCTGAGTGAGAAAATTTCTTCAAAATCCACTCAATCATAACATATTTCAACTTGGCGCCAAAATCTTTGAAAGATAAAATACGCAATTTGGGACAAAATTATTTTATGAATAAACCATTTTTAGGAATTTATTTTTTGAAATAAAAAAAGGAAATTAAAGATTTTTTTGCGTATTAAAGAGAGCTGCTTTTGATTTTCGTGATTAAGCGATCAATCGTGCAAATTGCCTCAAACTATTTATATAATTCCTCAATATTGTTTTTATTGGAAATTTTTATTATTGAAATTGACTTCAAATTTGATTATTTCAAATCATTTTCATGAAATGTTGATGGAATCATATTTTCGAAAATTTATCAAAAAATACATAAGTATTTGATTTGTGCACCTTTCGCTGTAAAGCTTATTATTAGAAACCATAAAATATGTTCCTAAATTGCAAAGCAGAAACTTATTAATGCAACAAAGCTGTTCCACAAAATAAACTGTGCTGGTGGCACGCGAATTTGACTTCATTAAAACAAAACGCAAACAAGAGCCCGAATTAAACTGTGCACAGAGTCCGGCGCCAGTTTCGGCCACGAGCAATGCGATGCTCAACAGCAAAACGCTCTCATGCGCGCGGAACCAACAGGGGAACGAGCTGCGCCGTGTTCCAGGGGCTATCCCAGATCCCAGCAGCAGCCGTTAATTGTGTACTGTTCATGTGAAATTAGCAGGAAGGCGCGGTGGCGGCGGCAGCGGCTCTCTCATGTATGCAAAATAGTTCCGAAATTTAATTAAAGCGAACATGGCTGGTGGTGCTCGGCGGCGGCACAGCGCGGCCTCGGGGCTTTTTCTTACTCACCGAAAATATTAGGTGAGCACCTTGCTCGGGAAAGAAAAAGCCATCACAGAAATTACAAAAGAGGCACCGAAATTATATTACCTGGGGCGCACTACACTTCAAACAATATTTTCTTTCCTCGCCGAATAAATTTGCGCCACACTGGAGAGAAAAAAAAGAAGTGGAAGAAGAAACATGCAAATCTGCTGCTGGATATGTCATTTCCAGAATGAAATTTATCGCGCAGTGGCACTTTTTGCACCGCGCCGCTATGTTCGCCACACAAAGCGAGTTTTTGCCCTTTTTATTTTAGCATCAAAGTGTGTTTGCTGAAGCAGAATAGGTCAAAGGTTCAGCCACGAGGTGTGACACTCCACTTCGCCCCAACTATTTCAGATGTACATAAGATGCACACCTACATATAAGTTGCCGACCTCTGCAAATT